TGCAACGCGAATACAGTAATTTGTCCACAGAAAATTTCAATCTTCTCACAAGAAAAGGTGTATTTCCATATGAATACATTGACTGTGTCGAAAAATTGAATAATAAATGTTTACCACCGCGCGAATCGTTCTACAGTTCATTGACAGGTGACACCGTATCCGAGAGCGATTACGCGCACGCATGCACGGTGTGGCGATGATTCTCTATTCAAACGCTCGGCGAGTACAGCGATTTGTATTTAAAAACTGACGTCTTGTTGTTGGCAGATATCTTTGAAAATTGTCGCGACAGTTGCGTCGGAAGTTATGGACTTGACCCTGCATACTATTATACTCTACCAGGATTTACGTGGGACGCGATGTTAAAACATACACGAATCAATTTTGAATTGCTTACTGACATAGATATGGTCATGTTTGTCGAACGCGGTATACGCGGTGGTCTGAGTCAATGTTCCAAGAGATACGCGCGAGCCAACAATAAGTACATGCAGTCATACGATCCATCGAAAACGTCGTCGTATTTAATGTATTTCGATGTAAACAATTTATACGGCTGGGCAATGTGTCAACCATTACCATACAGAGATTTTCAATGGGTCAACGACGTAACAAATTTTAATGTTACTGATTGTTGTAAGTCGAACTTACTAAATCAATAAGTCGGTCGCTGTTGTAACAATCTTACGACAGCGACCTAGAATAATTGAGGACTGCCGATGCAGGACTTCGGCAGCCTCAATACGCACGTCCTCCAAAAACTGCGGCAGTTGCAGTTAAGCAACAATTGCAACTGCTGAGCAGTGCAGTGGCCCACTTGAGACGGGATAAAACCCGCCGTCCAGCGGACCACTGCGGAGAGTTCACCTGTAAACATTAACGCATAGCGTTACGCTGTCGAGTCGCGCAGAGAGTCATTTGTAAGTAACTCATACAATATAGCCAGTATATTGAACTACACAACTGTGCGTCAATTCTTCAACCAACTACACGAGTCCCTCCCGTTACGAGTCGTAACAATATAATAATAAATTAATTAGAAATAAAGGGCTATGAGCCAAAGCAGGGTGTTGTATGCTCCAATTAAAGGTAAATCATTTATTAAAATATAGTAGACAGACGTTTCGATCCAAATAGAATCATTTTCAATGTTAAAATGCAAA